CTAACTCTCTACTGGGGGGCGCCTGTGAATCTGACCACCTACTGAATGGGAGATGTCATCAGTTACAGGACATACGTCTCCTCTCCCTCAGCTATGGTCTAAGCAGAAATAAAGCCGTAAGGAAAGAGAAACATAATCACAGCTGGGTGCTGTCAAATCCATCCTGAACCACAGCCAGCCCATGTAACAAGGGAAAGGCGCCCCGCTGAGTTTTCTTGGCTGTAATTACTGAACAGATGACCAAATCTTTCTATGGTGGTACCACTGCGAGGGTCCAAACCACCAACCTTGCTGTTGGCAGCCAAATGCTTAAGCAGGGTACCCCCAGGGTTCCCTAAACTTAGATATAGTATCTGTAAACAAAGATTAAAATAGCAGCTAACATTTACTGAGATGGTTTTACATGAGACCTAAATCACTAACATTTAACTATGTTATATGTCAAGTCATTAAGCTAAGTGTCTTATGTGTATGTTTTTCAGTAAGCCTCCCAAATAATTGGGGAGTAGTTTATCTCGATACCATTTTATTGATGGGAAGATTGGGGATCAGGAAGGTTAAGTAATTTCTTTAAGTCACACAGCTAATGAGTAGCTGGAGTCAACCAGCAGTGCCTGGGACAGCACTAAGGTGGATATTTGCTCTGCATTCCTCCTTGGCCACTCTCTAAACACACACAGTTGGGTATTATTCATTATTAATGGCTGTCTATCTTGTCACACATGTAATTGCCTATCTCAGGTCAGCTGGGAACTTTCGCACTAGCAGAGGTTGTGGAGCTGGGTTCAAGGGCAAAAGAGTCACTAGTTGCTCTCAAGTCAATGTCACCTTCAACTCATGGCAACACCACATGTGGTGTGTCACAAGTGTGGTTGGCGGTTGGTTTACACAAGGAGATCACCTGGCCACTGTTCTGAAGCGCCACTGGGTGAACTTGAACTCAACCTCTAGGCTAAAAAGCTGAGCATTTGCAGCACTTAAGGACTCCATTAAGGCACACGTAGTCGATGCTGAGTATCAGAGTCAGAACGAAACCACAGCTGACCCTCCAGCAGGTTTTTGGAGGCAATTAATCGCATGGGAGATTTGACAGAAAATTTATTTATTGGATAATTTATAATTTAATCACAAAATTGTTTCTCAGGGAACTCATGAAATATTATTCAAAATGGGTGACCCTCGAGGACATGAAATATCTCAGTCACAAAAGGACAAATACTGCCCAGTGCCACTGTTGTAAAACGGGACTGACATCGGGGTTAGGAGAGACTGAGAAAGATGGGATAATTTATGTATACTGCATTGAAACAGATGAGGGAGAGAACTGTTTAAAAGTGATGTTTGATTAGGTTTTATTATCATGAAAGGAGTCCAGAACGAAGGCTGCATACTGGAGTGGACTTAGAGACAGGGATTATATAACAATGAAAGAATTTATCTTTTACTTTTCAAAGAGAAGAGTGAACTGAGGGGGGAGGTTGGACAGGGAGAAAGTGTAACAATGAATGAATGAAAATCCAAAGTCTGTAAAGTTTCATTAAAATTAATTTTAAAAAAATTACAAAATTGTTTCAACAGTGTATGGGTAGACAACTTCCAGAAATCAACGCTGCATTCAGAAGAGGATGTGGAACGAGGGGCATTATCACAGAAAGCAGATGGATCCCGACTGAAAGCAGGGAACGTCAGAAAGCTGTTTTATTTTGTGTTTTATTGAGTGTGCAAAGGCGTCCAGCAGTGTGGATCATAATAAATTATGGATAACATGGTGATGAATGGGAATTACGGAACACTGACTTAAGCTCATGTCAAACCTGTGAATACACCAAAAAACAGTTGTTCAAATAAAATAAGGGAACACTGCATAGTTAAAAATAAGGATACGTGTCCATCAGGGTTGTATCCTTACACCGTTCTTTTTTTTTTTAATTATTATAGATTTTAATGAAAGTTTCTAAAGAATTTGGATTTCCATTCATTCATTGTTGCACATTTTCCTCCTTGCTCCTCCACCAGTTTTCTTTTTTCTTTGGAAAAATGTTCTTTCATTGTCATACAGCCCCCCACTCCGGACCACTTTACTATGCGACTCTTATTCTGGACTCTCGTCATGCCAATAATATCTAACCATATATTCCTTTTATACAGTTCTCTCCCTCGTCTGTTTGATCTGTATGTCAAAGAAATAATCTGAAAAGGTGGCTCATATGAAAACGAACACAGCAGGTGGACTGAAGAAAGACTCATCAACAACCTGCACTGCATAGATTACAAAACTCTGCTGGCTGAAAACGAAGAAGGCTTGAAGCACTTCTGATGAGGATCAAAGACTACAGCCTTCAGGATGGACTACATCTCAACACAGAACAAAGATCTTCACTGAATCATGAAGTAACATTGTGATAAATGGAGAAAGGGTGAAGCTATCAAAGATTATATTTTACTTGTATCCACAATCAACGTCTGTGGAGGCAGCAATCTGGAACCCAAACGAAGAAGAAGAGAAACAAGAAATCAAACTACTTTTGCACTCAGCAAATCTGCTGCAAAAGATCTCTCTGCTGTTATGTTCCATCAGGTCACCTGTGACTTGTAGCAACCTGATGTCCAACAGGTCTAAAGCCTGCCCTCTCCTGAGCCAGTCTCACTGACTCCAACACACATACTCCCATTGCCCCGGTTACTGTATCAAACCATCTCATCCAGGGCCTTCCTCTCCTGCACTGTCCCTCCACCCTTCCAAGCATGATGTCCTTCCCCAAGGACCAGTCCCTCCTCGCCACATGCTCAAATAAGTGAGATGGAGCTTCAAAATCCTAGCCTCCAAGGAGAAAGAGGTTTCACCCTTTCCAAGACAGACTTGTTTGTTCTCCTGGAAGTCTATGGTGTGTCCAAAACTCTTCTCCAGCACCAGAATTAGAAGCATTGATTCTTCTTCTGTCATCCTCAGTCATTGCCCAGCTCTCTGATGCCTAGCAAGTAACTGTGAAGACCATGGTCTGGATCAGGCACATCTTTGTCTCTAGACTGACAGTGTTGCTTTTTCGCTCTGGAAAGGTCCCTGATAGCAGATTTTCCCAGTGCAATTCAACATTTAACTTCTTTTTTTTTTTTTAATAAAGGATTTTACAGTTTATTAATCGTCTGGTGAAAAAGCCACAATCATCGAAGATCAAGTCAATGGAGACTGTTTATTCCTTCTTTTTGCCAGCTCCTACGTTGGCCTTCGCAGTCCCCCTGACTTTCTTCATCCTGTTCTTGCGCTCCTTGCGCTGTTTCCTTGAAGTCTTTTTCTTCTCATACAGACCATGCTCAACATTTAACTTCTTAACTGCTGGTTTCAAGAGGGCTGACTGTGGAGCTAAGCAAGCTGAAATTGTTACAGCCTCAATTTCTTCTCCATCTATGATGGTGCTACCAACTGGCCCAGCAGTGAGAATCATTGTCTTCTTGATGTTGAGCTTCAATCCATATTGAAAACTGTAAACTACTGCTGTTAGATGCTATATAAACAACAGAAGCCTTGTCTGGACCTGGACCAGCCTCCCAACCACTGCTGTGGCCAGTCCACTGTAAGAGTCACCGTGTTAATCCACCTCATGGAGAGCCTTCTCCTTCTCTGACCCTTCACTCATCCAAGCGGGATGTCTTTTCCTAAGCACTGGCCCCCCTTCTGATAATATGCTCAAAAGTATATTAAAGTCTTTGAATTGCACCATCCTGGCCCCTATGACAAACATTCGGCTAAGTGACACTAGACACAAACCATCCTTACCGGTTTCAACGTACACACAAAATCAACTGAAAGGCAGACTTAGGAAACCATCTGTAATCTTCCTGCACAGTAGAACCAGTGGCACCTGGGGAAGGCAGAGTCAGAGCAAACTGCCAGAGAAGGAAAACTCACTATTTTCAACGAATTGACACATCTTGAGTGGGTAGTTGTAGTTATGTGCCATCGAGTCGTTTGCAACTCATAGCGACCCTATGTACAAGAGCTCTAAACGCTCTTCTATCCTGTGCCAACTTAGCCATCTCAAACACACTTATTCCCACCGCTCCAGTCACAGAATCCATCCATCTCATCAAAGGTCTTCCTCTCCTTTGCCGCCCCTCCACTCTGCCAAACACGATGTCCCTCTCCAAGGACCAGTCCCTCCTGGCAACATGCCCAAAGTATGTCAGATGAAGCTTCAGAATCCTTGACTCCAAGGAGCATTTCGGTTTCACCTTCTCCAGGACAAACCTGTTTGTTCTCCTAGCAGTCCATGGTATATTCAACACTCTTCTTCAGCACCACAGCTCAAAGGCATCAATTCCCTTTCTATCAACCCTATTCATTGTCCAACTCTCTGATGCATAGCACGTAATTGTGAAGACTATAGCCTGGATCAGGCGCACCTTAGTTTTCAGCCTGACATCATTGATCTTCAGTACCCTTGAGAGGTTCCTCACAGCCGACTTTCCCAATGAGAGTGAGAAAAAGTCAAAGGGGACCTTCAAGGAAATGGATTTAGCCTGTGACTGCAACAACGGGCTTGTGCATGGCAGAGAGAGTGAGGATGGCACAGGACAAGGCAAGGTCCCAATCTATGTTCACATGGTCGCTATGAGTGATATCTGACACTCTGGCACCTAGTAACAACATGAGACAGTGACGTTGTTGCTGTTGGGTACCATCGTGTTGTGAGCTGACAATCTCAGTTAAATTTCACAGGAGACTGCCCATATATCTCCCTTAGAGCAGGTGGTGAATTCAAACCATGTACCTTTGGGATGGTAGAACAGATTCTTACCACTAGACTACCAGCGCTATCCCAGAGTGATAGGAAGGTGGAAAGACTGCACCCCATCAAAGACAGAGAACTTGTGAAATGTAGAAAAACAAGACAGCATCACCGAGTTCCAGATCTCAGGGGGGCTCACTGTGCAATGTTTCATGTGCAGATAAAACACTCTCAGCTCTTTAAATATCGCCTGTGCTTTTTAGAAATCTTTACCTGAGGCAGACTGGACATACTGCACGCTCCAGGCAATCAGTACGGACAACAGGAAGGTCCCCAGAAAGTAGATCTGCAAACATCCAAACACGCGTCGTCAGACGACTGGCAGAGGACAGGGGCTTCAAGGGGGCAGGGGTGGTGGAGGCAGGACCTACCAGAGCAGAGTGCAGGAGGGCACCCCAAAACAGTCGCCAGTGAAGGTACAGCCAGGCCAGCGAGCAGGGGCTGAAGGTCTCCTCCGTACTGTGGCTCCAGCACCTTCGAACAGAGACAGGGCATCTGGGTGTTTGGCCTCTGCAGCCTGACATGACCCCTGCTTGCTGCTTTCAGACCCTCGAAGCTATGTTCTGCTTTAGATGACACCACGCACTTAGGGGAGAAGCACAGACAGCTGGTTCTAAGCAGTGAGTCCACATTCAAATCCTAGGATTCTGGCAGAAATCTTAGAAAATGGGGAGCTCTGGTGGCCTAGTGGCAAGGAGCTGCAACTACAATCCCAGAGGTGCACGGTTCGAGTCCACCAGATGCTCTGCTGGGGAAGGAGGGACAATCTCTTCCTGTACCAGTCAGATCGATGGAACACTCACACAAAAATAATAAAAAAATTTAAAAAAATTAAAAAACACTCTTTATTTAAAAAAAAGAAAGAAAATGGTCACATCTTACCTTATTTGGAGTGGTTTGTGACTGGCTATCAACCTAAAGGTTGGCAGTTTGAACCCACCCAGCTGCCCCAGGGGAAAAAGGCCCATTGAACTGCTTCCATAAGTATCTGAAACCCAACAGAACCAAATCCCTTGCTGTTAAGTAGATTCCATCCCATAGTGACCTACAGGGCAGAGTTGACTTAACCCAGAGTGTTCTCAAGTCAGTAACCTTAGCAGAGGACTGCTTCTGCAGAGTGCCCGGTGGGTTTGAACCACTGACCTATTCTTTAGCAGCTCAGAGCTTTGTCACTGCACCACCGGGAACCCTTACTAAAATACTGGTGTTGTGTGAGGCTGAGTAGGGGGTCATCAAAGGGCCACACAATTTGATGGTTAGAGGGCAGGGTGGGTAAAGAAAATGGGAAAGATCTGGTGTGAAAAACAATGTATATGAACTTTGTAAGTAAATCAGTACAAAACAAAATTTTATTTTAAAAAAATTGCTATTATGTACCATCAAATTGGAATCAACTCATAGTTGACCCTCCACTGGGTTTTGAGAGTCAATAAATCACTTGAGAAGAGACTGCCCACCTTTCTCCTTTGGAGCAGATGGTGTGATTGAACTGCTGGCTTTTGGTTTGGCAATGCAACTCCATACCATTAGGCCACCAGAGCTCCTGACCACAACAATTAGTTAAGTAAACCCAGCGGAGAAGGTCTACTGTGTTACACATGGAAGCACCATGAGTTGGAACTGTGCTGATGACAACACATTGGGTTTTTTTCCTTTGGCTAAGAAAAGTCACCAGTTCTGATTCCTATCACAGTACAAATGAACCTTGAAAACATTATGGGGAATAAAACTGGCCAGTTAGAAAAGAACAAATACTGTAGATCTCATTAATATGAAAAATTGAGGCCAGGTAAACGTACAGAGATTGAAGTTTGATAGTGGCTATCAGGGGTGGGATGGCAGTGAGAAAGTATCAGAAGCACTGAGTGTCTTTCTGTTGAAGGTGATGGGATAATCTGACCGTGGATTTGGGTGACAGCTGCATAGCCTGGTATCGCTGCTCTCTCTGAACTATGAACACGAAAAACATGCACTTAGCCAATATTGTATTAGCGATACTTTCACAGCAACAATAATAATTAAAAAATCAACTGGTCAAGAAAGAATCTCTGAAGCGTGAAGGCAGCCAGAGAAGATTTCTGTCCCAGCATCTGTCCAAAGCCCACATGGATGATCATCTCCCTGTCTTTCAGAAAAGGAGAGTCTAATTGGGCAGAGTGTTTCTTTCACTCAGTGGAAAAACAGACAGGACTTTAACTTCAGACCAGGCACGCTCTAGCTGAGGTCTCAGTAACTGGAAAAGGGAAATGAATCAGAGTCTGGTTGAGAGGTCTCCGGAGGATGTAACTCTTCCAGCCTTCTGGTCACAATTAACATTACAAAACAAGGCTGAATCAAAAGGCAACTGACCCATCTTCTTGAGTTCTTTCAGACTCTCTATCACAAGAGACTGTGAACGTACCTTTCATACAGTTCCCGGAGGATGGAGAAATTACTGGAATGAATGCTTGGGTCAATTTCCAAGAAGTCTAAAATATGGTGTGGAATTATAGCACCTTCCTCGATGAGCAGCGCCAGGTTGAAAAATCCCTAAAAACAAACCATAAACCAAACCCGTCAACGTCTCATAAAAAAATCCCAGACACACGCCCTCCATCCAAAGTCAACTTTTATAACCTCTCTATATTTTTTAAGTCCCTAGAGCCAGATGGTTTTGTCATCTTCCTTGATGAATTGTTTCCCTAAATATATGCGTCTGAGAAATTTATATGTAGGAGAACCAGGAGGTTTTCAGAAGATGCTGGGCCCCATCTGCTCAGGAACCAATGAACCAAGGATCGGCCCTTTCTTACTCACTCTCAAAACAGAACTTGCTGGAAAGTGTGTGCCCTTGACATCCTCAACAAACAAGAACTCAGAGGCAGGGCAATGCCCATCACTCACAGAATGCTCTAGGACACAAGCGTGTTGGAGAGCAGATGCAATGTTTTTGTATTTGACGATGGGGTGGGCGAGCGAGTACTCTAACACAGTATCTCCTGTCTCACAGTATCTGCAGAATGGCATCAAGACATATGCCTCAGCTCCCCTGTGGCCAGTGTTAGAAAATCTCCTCTGGATTCCCCTTAATACAGATTTCCCCAACAGTGTATTTCTTTATCGTCATGTGTCTGCCGTTATGACATACGACGGTGGCTTTCACACGGTTTGTTGCTAGAAGCTTTGTCACTGGTATTTTAAATACCAGCAGGGTCTCTCATAATGGATATTCTTCACAGGAACATTCAAGCTAAGACAGGCTAGCAAGAACCCTGTGTTGGCTGACTTCTGAAAAAACTGACCAGTGAGAAACATTATGAAGAGCAGTGGGTCACAGTGGATACAGTTTTGAAAGACAGACCCTTCAGGTATTTTGAAAAGCATTCACTATACTGTTGGGGGAAAGCTGCCTGCTCAAAGTAGAGACTACCTTAATGATGTGATGTTCTGGGGAGTGTGTGTGTGTGTGACAGAGAGAGAGAGAGAGAGAGAGAGAGAGAGAGAGAGAGAGAGCGCGCCTTGCTTGCTGAAAGTGAGGAGGACTTGTGAAGAGCTTGCAACAGAAGATCAAATTCTGCAGCCTTCCAAAGGGATTGCATCTTAATATCAAGAAAACAAAAATTCTCACCATTGGACTGAAAGGCAACATCATGATAGATGGAGAAAAGACTGAAACTGCTATCCACAATCAATACACTTGTACCAGCAGTCAGGAAATCAGGAGGGAAAGTCTGCAGTCAGGTACCTCTCCAAATTATTGAAGAGCAATGATGTCAGTTTGAGGACTAAGGTGAGTCTGATTCAGGCTATGGCTTTTTTCAATCACTTGCTATACATCTGAGAGCTGAACAATGAATAAGGATGACAGATGAAGAATCAATGTCTTTGAGCAGTGGTTTGGAGAAGAGTACTGAATATCTCATGGATGCCCAAAAGAGTAAACAGATATGTCTTAAAGAAGGTGCAGCCACAGTGTTCCTTGGAGGCAAACGTGATACAGGAAAATAATAAATGAGGCCAAATAAAATGAATAGATATGAACTATAGCATGAACTTTGTAAGAAATTAACCAATCTGCCTTGGAAGTAGTGCAGGCAGAATGTTACTTGGATGTGAAAGATGGTTAGACTTCATTTCTATTGATTTACTGTGGGTAAAAGCATGAGGAGAAACAAGATATAGTCATGGATGTCTCCCCAAGATACAAAAGGAAAACATTAACTTCAGAGTAAAGAGACTTGACAGGAACCACCTTACTCAAGAGACTGAACTTACTCTCCTCAGGAATAAAACATACTGACAGCTTGTACCCTACAATGACATACGGACAAGACACATTACTTCTATACTATCCTTTCCCACAATGCATCACCTCAACCATCTACTCATAAGAAAGCAGCAGACAGACCTAACCTGAGGAACAACCTATAAAATACCACATATCATGGTCATAAAAGACTAGGAAACTGTCCTATATTAGAAGAGACTAAGGACACCTGAAAAATAAATGCAACAGATCTTGGATTCAACCGTGGAACAGAAAAGGGACATTAGTGAAAACTAGTGAAATCCGGACACAGTCTTTTTTTTTTTTTATATTTTTTTTTTTCGGACACAGTCTTGAACAGTCGCAATGGTGATTTCTTAGTTTGATGATGCTGTCATTATACTAGATGCTGCTGATGCTGCTGTGGGGATACCAGATGCTGACAGGAGGAGAAGCAGGATATAGGGTCTATAGGAATTCTTGGCCCTATTTTTTCAACTTCTCTAGAAATCTAAAACGAGCTAAAAACGACAGGTTTTGAAAAAAATACCACAAAGCAAAATGTCCTGTCACTGACATACGGGGCCAACTGTAGAAGCCAATCAGTCCATACTGTGGCTACATTTCGGAATTCCTTGAGATTCTATCCTGGTGAGTTGTTGTTGTTGTTATGTGCCATCAAGTCGCTTGTGACTCATAGTGACCCTATGTACAACAGTTCTGAACCCTGCTCTATCCTGCACCAACCTTATTGTCTCTGATACACCTACCTCCATTACCCTAGTCACTGAATCAATCCATCTCATAGAGGGCCTTCCTCTCTTGCACTGTCCCTCCACCCTCCAAAGCATGACGTCCCTCTCCCAAAATTGGTCCCTTCTTGTAACATGCTCACAGTATATCAGACCAAGCTTCAGCATCTTTGCCTCCAAGGAGCAGCCTGGTTTCACCCTCTTTGGGACAAACCTGTTTGTTCTCCTAGCAGTCGACTGTTTATTCAATACTCTTCTCCAACACCACAGCTCAAAGGCACAATCCTTCCATCATTCCAAGTCATTGACTAACTTTCTGATGCATAGCAAATAGAATCTGACAGAAAGACCCATAGACTTGGTTTCTTCAACTTACTTACTACCTAATTGTCTGGCTTTGAGCATCACCTTGATGTAGTCATTGTTTCCTCCTCTATAAAATGGGTGTAATGATTGCCATGAGAATGGTGTACAGAGATCAGAAAAGCCCAGTAGGTGTTTCATGAAGTCGACCCATGATGGTGAGTGACCTCCCAGAGCTGTTGTGAGGGCTGCTTGACAATGAGCCCGAAGTGACTTTGTCCACTGTGAGACGTATGCAGATGGGAGGCATCTCAGGACCTCACAATCTCACATCGTCCAGAGCCACCGTGGTGATTTGTACCTGGGAGTCTCCATCCAACGCAGCTTGGGCGTACATCTGCACAGACAACTCTAGGTCTTGGGACTGGTTTTGGTGGCCATAGTAGTACAGGTCTCCCATTTTCAAATATGCTACAGGAGAAAACAAAACCACAAAAGCACAGATCATCAGTCAAGTGGTTTGGTTTCAGACAGACATTTTAAATGACATTTGTTTGAATGAGAGTTCTTCCCATCAGTCTCTGAACACAGAACATTTTAACATTTTGTGGATGCAGAGAGAGTAGAGACAGCAAGCAAGAGGGCTTTTCTGAACACATCCTTTTTCAGTTTTACTGGGCTGTTGTTTGGCGTCAGTTGATTTGACTCCAAACCATAATGACCTTATATACAACAGAACAGAATGAAATCCAGCTCAGCTCAACGCCATCCACAATGTTGCAGTCACTGTATCAAGGCATCTGACTGAGGGTTCTCCTCTCCTTTGCTGACCCTTCATTTGCCCAAGCATAATGCCCTTTTCCAGGGACTGGTCCCTCCTGACATGTTCAGAACATGTGAGACGATTTCCCCCGTCCTTGCTCTGAGGAGCAGTCTGCCTGCACTTTTTCCAAGGCCGGGCTGTTATTGTCTGGGGAGCAATGAGCAGCTCCCCTAAACAGCTCTGTGGATGAGCACCTCAAGCACAACCCAACAGCCAATTGGCTGGGGTTATTGAGGGTACTTCATTCTACATCTAAAATGTTGCTGCCCCAGTCTCTAAGGTCTCTGGGGAGCTCTTTCTTTACTCCGTTTGAACTACGTATTTCATTTTTCCTCTGAGGAAAAACTCATGTTCAAGAACGTGTATCAGTCAGTGTTTTGGGAGCCCCTGAGTGTACAATAGTTAATGGTTCAGTTGAATCTAATCAAAGGCATTTTGGGGGAGAAAAAAAATCCCGATGTTTTGTTTCCAAAAGAGCAGCCACTAACAACTCTATGGAGAACAGTTCTACATATATGAGGGCACCAGGAGTCAAAACTGACTATAAAGAAAACTCATTCAGTGTCCTCTCAGAAAACCCAAATTCATGTCTCACACATTGACCGTGAGTCACAACCAAGTCAAAGTTGACCCTCCCATGGTTTTTCAGAGTCTGTAAATTGCATGGGAGAAGATTTGTCCATGTTTCTCATTCAGAGCCACTGAGAGGTGACGCCTTGGTGTTATAGCAACTTAATGCTCTTCAGAGGTGGCTCACACGAGGGAGAAGCATGGGAAACAGGTTATCAGCAGGTAGGAAGAACTGAGAAAGTAAATGGGAAACAGCAGGCTAACTGGAGACAAGGATGCTAGAAGGTTCTATCACCACTAGGGTTGGAAGAAGGAGAGGTAGAGAGGAGACCCGGCAGTCTGGGAGGCATCCAAGACCATAGAGACTGGGGCTGTCAGAATGAATCCTCCTTCTCATACCTACCTACCCTTTCCCCCCACCAGGAAACTAATCAGAAACTAACTGTTGGTGTTGTTGTTAAGAGCTCTCGAGTCGTAGGCAACTCATAGCGACCCTGTGAATGAAAGACCTGTACACCTATATAACGTTGGTCCTCTCTTCAGGTTCAAAGGGTTTCCGGAGGCAAGCTATTACAGAAGCAGATGCCACTCCTGCTTCCAAGCTTGTTTTAATTAGGGAGCTCCAGCAAACACTGTCCATCATGGGTAACCATTCTCGCATTTGACACATCAGTGTCACAGTATTCAGCTTCACAGCAACCACGAGTTACCTCTGGACAGCAAGTAGACATACTAGGGTTATACAACCTAGAAGAATGTTTCACCAAAAACAATTAAAGGCAGGCCTGAGGCCCGTGGATTAGAGTCACCCACCTTTGGCTTGGGAGTATGACTTTCTGTCCAGTAGGCTGACTGAAAATCTGGTAGTTTCTGAGGGTCAGCACCCTCTCTGATAAAGTCAAATGAGGAGGGCAGGAGACACTTGTGAGCACCAAAGACTGGCCCAGGAATGCTCTTCACAACAGCTCCAAATGTCCCAATTTGACTCTGCACACTGTGTTCAAGCTGAGGGAAGGGGACTAACCACCTCTTAAGAGCAGAGACTTGTCACCCTCTTTCCTAATTGTTGAGAAATATCGCACTTCACACCAAGCTGTTAGATGTTCCCTGCTACCAAAGATTAAAAGCCTCCAAGGCTTGCATTTAGCACCCGCTTTTCTATACATACCAAATGAAGGCGCATCGATTTGAAAAACAGAGAAATTATAGTATCGCCAAACACAATTAACACCCAAGAATCTCCGGGCCAGGTCCTAAGGGGGGTGGAGAGGAGAAGAAAAAGTCAATTCATTAATATTTTTGGCCGAGCGACAAGTTCTGCCTCCACAGAGCCCAATTCATTGTCCTTAACCTTCGAGCTTCTCCGAGGAGAAATGAGACATTTACTTACTGGCCTCTCCTCACAGATGTGCGCTAAATTTGTCTGTGACACTTCAATTCCAGTTTCTGCGGCTAAGACATAATACAGCAAAGCTTCGTGCCTAAAAATAGACGATTAATAATAAATTCCATAGTGGCTCTTACTAATATTTAGAGAGCTTTCTATTCAAATACAAGAGGGCACAAAATAAGCATTTTTCCCTTTTTAAAAAACCCACAAAATCATGACTTCTTTTTTAAAAATAAATACTGTTGTAAAAATACTGCAGGCACTGATTTATTTTCTAAACTCGCAGATAAGGCTGGGGAGCTGGTTGATGCAACAGCTACCTCTACTGGCTGAGGAGAGTAGTGGTGACTCTGAGGCTGGCTGGTAGGTGGTCAGCGGCGTTTGCTCCCTGAATCTTCCCACATAGATAAGTGGTATTAAGGGACCCCCCCTTCGACCCCCCATGCCTTACAGTCTTCTGTTCTCTGAAAGGCTTTATGAGGCTTCAGATTCCAAATAAGCTTATGGTAATTAAAACAAGCTTCTGGAGCACCTTAGAAGTTTGACAGAATCAAAACAACAATGAGATATCCTCTCACCCCAGTAAGAATAGCAAAATTTAACAGAACAGCAAACAGCAAATGCTGGTGAGGTTGTGGAGAAACTGGAACCGTTACTCGCTGTTGGTTGAAGTGTAAAATAGTGCAACCACTATGGAAGGCGCTTTCTCAAAAAATTGCAAATAGAAATACCATTTGACCCAGCAATTCCACTACTGGGAATATACCCCAAAGAGACTATAACTACCACTCAAGCAGATACATGTACACCCATGTTTATCACGACTTTGTTCATGATAGCAAGAGTTGGAAACAACCTAAGTGCCCATCAACAAACGAATGGATAGAGAAGCTGTGGTATATTCACACAGTGGAATACTACATTGCATTGGAAATCAAGGAACTCATGCAGTATTATTCAAAATGGGTGAGCCTGGAGGACATTATGCTGAGTGAAATATCTCAGTCACAAAGGGACAAATCCTGCAAAGTGCCACTGTTGTAAAACAGGACTGACATCAGGGTTGGGGAGGGACTGAGAAAGACGGGTTCAATAAAGTACACTGCATTGAATCAGATGAGGGAGAAAACTGTTTAAAAAGGGATCTGTGATTAGGTATTATTGTCATGACAGGAGTTCAGAACAAAGGCTGCATAATGGAGTGGACCTGGGGGGAGAGAGTATAAAACAATGGGGGAACTTTTACTTTTCAAAGAGAAGAGTGTACTGGATGTGGAGGGGTGGCTAGGGAGGAAAGTGCAACAATGAATGAATGGAAACACAAAGTCTCTGTAAATTTTCATTAAAATTAATTAAAAAAATGATAAAAAAAGGAGTTTGAGGCATCACAAGGGATCAGAGCTTTCTGAAGGGTCAGTGGAGATTAACCCAGAATAGTTTCAATAGGAGTTTAGAATTGAAGGTTTATGCTAAAGATTAGGCCATGAAATGTCTCTGTCAAGGCTGGAACTTCGTGTGTTTTCACACCAGCCCTAGGAGGCACTCATGACTGCATGACACAATGCCTTAGGGCAGATCTCAGAAAGAAATGGAGTGATGTGATCCCCTTGCCTGCACATGTTCCGGTTTGGTTGATATTCCTGTGGTACAACTGGAAAGGTACAATATCTACACATTTCAGTCAACACACCATTCACAAATCCTCTAAGAAGAAAATGTGAGTCCTAAATTTTTGGTTTTTTTTTTCTTGCTGTGGTGGCATAGTCTACAAGGTGTGACACAGCTAATTCAAAGGTGTCATCTCCCTGGCAGTTTGAATTCACCAGAAGCTCCATGGGAGAAAGACACCAAATCCCCTCTGATGTGATTTAGAGTTTCAGAAACATGATGTAGGGTCAGCTATGAGTTGGTTCTGATTCAACATGAATCGGGGTGTGGGGAGAGATTTTTGTCAGAAACCTTTTATCTACTCTAAATTCAAGAAGGTATCCATCATCAAAATGTAAGTAATTGGTGACTGGCTTTGGGGGGAAAAATTCTGAAGATGGTGCTTTTATGAAATAATAATAAAGTTAGCTCTCTTTCAAGGGAAAAAAAAAGGAGTTTGACAGAGGACAGGCAGCTTTATGAAGGGCTTGATACAAACAGCTAAAAAAAATACAGGGGAAATGTCAGCATCTATTTATAAAAAGATAAATGTTTGACAAGAAGAGGAACCGGACAGTCGTAAAATGCTGAGAAAAAGGGCACAAACTCAAATTCATTGCTGTCAAGTCAGAACCAATTCATAGCTGACTTTCTAGCAGGTTTTCAGAGGCTGTAAATCACATGAGAGGAGACTGCTCATCCTCCCTCACAGCAGCTGGTGAATTTGAACCACGGGCCTTTGGGTTGGCAGAGCAACTCCTTTTCCACTAGGCCCCCAGAGCTTCCTTTACCACTAGTCCCCCAGAGGTAACATTGTGCAGAGGGTTTCATGGGACTACAGCCAATGACATGAAATAAGATCTGTATGTATTGTTGAATAGGAAAGGGATTTGCTCTGTAAACCACTGGAATTGGAATAAAAAAGCTGAGAAACATGGACAAGATATTGATGATGGTGAGTATAAGCGAGGGTTTGGAGAAACGGCCTTGCTTCGAAAAGCACTGATAATGTGAGAGGTGACTGACTCACTGATTCCGCAGGACAATGTGGTCCCAGCAGTGACAGCTGCTCGACCACACACATGCCATCAAGCCCAACGACTGTCCCTCATGAAGGTTCATCTAAAGAAACTATCAGGGAAACAGGCAACAATTCTGCTTCCAAGGGACTAGCTGTACACATGGATGAAGACTTTGTTGTTGTTAGGTACTGTTGAGTTGAGTACGACAGTGAATTTGAACCCCATCCTATCCTGTGCCATCTTCACATTTCCTGACACACGAGACAGGAATCTGCAGCAGTCACCGTGTCAACTGACCTGGTCAAGGGTCTTCCTTTCCTTTGTCAACCCTCCGCCCTTCCAAGCATCATGTCCCTCTTCAAGGAATAGCACCTCCTAGGAAAATGTCCAAAGAATGTGAGGCAAAAACCTCATCATCCTTACCTCCAAAGAGCACTCCAGCTGCACCCTCTCCAAGGCTTTTCTGTTTGTTCTCTTGGCCATCCATAGGATGTTCAGTGCCATTCTCTAATATCACAGCTCAAAGGCACCAATATTTTTTCTGTCATCCCTATTCATTGTTCAGCTCTCAGATGCATAGGAAGTGATTAGAAAGACCATGGCCTGATTCTGATTGAGACACGCTTTAGTCCTCAAACTGACACAATTACTCCTCAATAATTTGGTGAGGTCCCTAACTGCAGACTTTCATGGTGCAATGTGTGTCTCCTTATATCCTGACCGCTGATATCAAGGATGATAATTGTGGATCCAAGTAAGGTGAAGTTGCTGACAGTTTCAATCTCCTCTCCATCCATCATTATGTTGCCTCTTAGTCCAGTGGTAAGAATCTTTGTTTTCTTGACAGTGAGATGCAATCCATACCAAAGGCTGCATTCCTTGATCTTCTGCAACAAGTGCTTCAAGTCTTCCTCACATTTAGCAAGCAAGGTTGTATCATCTCCATAAAGCAGGTTACTGATTAGTTTCCCTCTGATCCCGATGAATCAGGAATGAATAAAGACTATAGAGGACTGTACTAACTGAAAAATTAATGCCTACAAGCTGTGGTGTGGTAGAAGAGTACTTAATATTCCATGGATTGTTAAACGAACAAACAGGTATGTCTTGGAGATCAGGCATAGTGCTCCCTGGAGTCTCTATAACAATAAAGCTTCATTTCACATATTTTGGACATGTTGCTAGGAGAGGTCTTTGGAAAGGGACATCATGCTTGAGAAGGCAGAGTGATGGAAAAAGAGAGAAAAATCCTCAACTAGATGGCTTGCCACTGACTACAGAAGTAACAGGCTTGAGTATGTCAGAGATTATGAGGAAGGACACAGGACAGCACTGGGTTCAGATCTGTCCAGCATAGGGATGCTATGAATGGTACTTGACTCAACAGAACCTAACAACAACATGCAGTCATTTATAGATGTGACCTTAAAGATGATACTGTAGCATTTAAAAGCATAAAAATATTTATATAAATGTTTGCATAATTTTCCATTTAGTTAGTAAAAAGCCAAAAAAGCAAAAGCAAATTTTATGAAAGCAGGCAGATATACACACAGACTCACTCTCTCTCTCCCCCCGCCCCACCATGTGCAGAGAAGAGAATGAAGCCTCCACAAATGATTTGCCAAAACGCTAACAGTGTTTATCTTTAGGTGATGGAAATGCAAATAGTTTCTTCTTTTGCTTTGTACTTGTTCTGATTTCTTCAGCATTCTCAATGTGCAAGTAAACATCTATCTGAACTAGAAATTGTGGTTTCCAAAGCTCATTTTTTTCATTCTAAGTAGCTGATTAAGATGGTAAGTCTTTCTCACTTTTTGTTCCATCCAGAAACTGGTTTAGGGAAGGGTCAGGCAAGGTCGAGGAAGAAGATTCTGAAATCATCTTTCCTTAACTGCCCAAGACAGTTCTGGCAGAGCAGACCCTGGAGACAGAGAGAGGCGGCCAGAGGGTCACATGGGGACAGGCGGACCTTCAGTCCATCAGAAGTGCTGAGTGAGCTTGGCCTCCCAGACACGGAGAGCTGCCCAATTAGCCATGACTCAAACTAGAGAGATGAAGCCAGCCAAGCAGTGCTCCCTGCACAGACAGTCTAGAAACCAAGCCTATGGTAGTGGCCACAACAACATAAAAGATGCTCTCACATTTTCTTCTTGTTGTTGTTGTTGTTATGTGCCGTTGAGTCACCTGCGACTCATAGTGATCCTATGTACAACAGACCTAAACCCTTCTCTGTCCTGTGCCAATTGCACCGTCTCTGACATACCCACTCCGACTTCTCTAGTCACTGAATCAATCCACCTCATAGAGGATCTTCCTCCCCTGTGCTGTCCCTCCACCCTCCCAAGCATGATGTCCCTCTCCAAAAACTGGTCCCTCCTTGAAACATATCCAAAGTATGTCAGATGAAGCCTCAAAATCC